CATCTCAAAGAACTCCAGTTACTCCGTGGTGAATAGCCTTATTTTATGCAAAAAATATCGTATTCAGAATCTCTGCTTCTTGTTTATCTTTGACTTCTGTCTGTTTCATTTGTTGGGGGAAAATATTTTTATTCTTCTATGTGCTGCAGAACTAATAAAAGCTATGGAAGAGTGAACATGGTTCTGTAAAGCCTCAGACACCAACCAGACATTTTCAGCTGAGCTGTGATTGCAGTATTTTTGTTGATAATGGTAGAGGCAGAAAAGAGTAACCTGATTTGTAGGTGTCAGGTTGAATTTGGGTAAAAAGTGAACATTTGATTTTTTTTAAATTGAGCAGATGAGAGAGTGAAGTCACTGAGCAAGACTAGTCATGGAAACCCAGCATTATTTGGCAGGGACAAGCGGGTTTTAAAGGTATTTATATGTACTTTAAATACAAGAAAGTTATTTCAGTCAGGGTAGACTGAAAATGAAGATTCTTACCGCTTTATGGGGGTATGTTGGAGATAACTTGTCAGCCTGACTAAGATGTTGCAATCACTAATCTCTACCGGTGCCCTCAAACTTTCCATAAATGGACCCTACACTTGTTTGGATTTTATTTTTATTTTTTTTATATTAATTAGTTTGTTTTATTTCAGCTCCTACTTAGTATTTCCAAATCTCCCTCAACTAGGAAACTGAGACAGCCTATGTAGGCAGTGGTATACTGATGTAGTTTGCAGCAGTTGTAGCAACATTCGACTACTAACAGGCAGTGTCTCAGTCTACAAGAAGTCTGCTTATGCACAAGAAAGTCTCTTCCTCATGTTACAGCACAGTCCTGAAGCTGCCCTTTCCTGCCATTTATCATTTTCCAAAAAGATATATTTTTTTCTCACATGTGATTCATAAATTGGTTCTTAAATCAAGCACCTCTCTCTTCACCTTCTACTGTAATCGCAAAACAGGAAAGGAAAAATACTGCCATGGTTTGGATCTGCCCAGAGTTGTTTAAGTGCTGTGGTAACTCCACATATCCCAATCCTTTAGAAAGTTCTGTAGCCACTTTATTCTCTTACAGGTTTCAAGCAGGATTTTTAAGCTTCCCAAACAGTGTTCTTGAGGTTTTCAATCTTGTATACAGACCCTTCCAATCTTTTGAGAGCATAGGAGCTAACCCTGAATGGATGAGGAACGGTGCAAGGCAAAACCCTGATGCTCCTTTTATATTTTATTGAAACATTAATGCCTGATGTAGAATTAAGTGTATGAATTCAGAGTTCCAAGATCTCATGAGGGGCTCACTTTTTTGAGTAAATGAAGACTGGGATCTGAATGCCTGCTCTTATTGTTTTTTTTCTTCCCCACACAGTTATGTTCTGTTTCACTGGACTCTCCTTATTTAGATTCAGCTTGTTTTCTCTCCTACATTTTATATGAAAACTGTGTTTTTGAATCTCACTGGTGAGACTACATCACAATCAAATTTTGCTCCTTACATATGCTTTTGAGTCCTTGGGGCTTGGTTATTCCAGCATAGACACTTGCCATCCTTTCTCCCTCCCTGTATCCCAGTTTCTTAGTAAACTATGCAGTTCCTTTAGAGTTGTGGTAATACTCACCTGAAAAAGGAGTAGGGCTACAGGTTTTAGGTGTGGTTTCACAGGGGAGTAGAAACTTCAAACTGATTGATGTTTTGCTTAGGTGAACTAGTGAGGAGGAGGCAACCCCATTAGCCTGTGCCAATTTGATCAGATCACATAGGTTAACAAATAAGGAATAAAATATGACTTTATTTTAAAAGTCAAGATTGTGATGGATTTTTTTTAAAAACCCATTGATTTCTATTCTGCCTTAATGAATAATATTTACTATTCACCCTTGCAGCCATCTATGAATTATTTAACCTGAAAAAAAAAAGCTAAACCAAAATGCTTATGTTTTCATTCCTGTAACTTGAACTAAATGTGCATTTAAGAAATCCATTCAGCTACTAAGTGTCCTCCTGGGTTGAATTTTTATTACAAAATTATAAATTCAGCTAATTTTAACTAATCGGCAATGAACTGGTGCTACAGTAGAAAGTTGAAACAATACATTATGGTTAAATTATAAATTAAGGGACAGTGTCTGCTGATGTTTACTGGGCTTTCCACTTTTAGGACTAAAAGCCAAGAACAAGCTTTCTCTGTGGTTCACAAAGGTGATCATAGCAAATTGATGTTGGTTGCAATTTTGACAGTAAAAATATTAAACTAGTGCTAATATAATCATGTGATTATTTGGAAGTGTCAATATAAAGAAAATAAATCTCTTCCATTTAAGGAATGATATGTACTTCTAATAATACCACTAAAATTACCAGTTGCAAATGAACTAGTTTTTATTTCAAAGGTTCTTGACAGGAATTGTTCAACACTCCTCTCTCTCAGGGCTGATTCCATTCCTGAGCCAGAGGCAGCTGCCCTACTACACTACACTGAAACAGCACAAGGCTCACCATGGACTTGGGCTGCTGATGGAAAAAAGCAGCACCAGTGACCCATGGCAGAGAGCTTAGGGAAGGGGCTCTGAGACCCCAAAAGTTATGGTGTCAGCGTGGTGACCATGTGCAGCTCTAATGGCCTCACTTGAGAATCGCAGCAATACAGTAATAGCATCAGTAACCGGACTAAGGAATAATGAGCTACAGAGCAAAGTCATCCCTTTGTATTGCAAGTAAATTTAAAAAAAATACAAGGCAGTTTTTCATTAAAAATAAGGAACAAGATGGGAGTATTTGTAAAAGGTCACTAAGGGCCTGCTTCTTCCTCAGTTAAGTTAATGGTGTTTTACAAGTGATTTTAAGGGAGAAATATGGGGATGTGAATTATACAAAAAAAGCCAATAATTTTAGTGAGTCACTTACAAATTAAATGTAAAAAAGTAATTTTGTACCATATTTGTAGTACAAAGATCATCCAAAGACAGGACATTTGAAGTGAAGGCTTGGCTATCCATCCTTGAAATGTTAGTTTTATCTAATTATTATTAGTCACAATTTTAAACTTATTTACATCTGTTCTAATGGTTACTTAACAATAGAAATAACCTTTTACTGAATAGTTTAAAAAGTCACTTTATTTATGTGTGCCATGTATATCTATGTTTAATGTCATTTGGAGTTGTATGATGCCATTTCTGGGGGAAGAGAGGGATTACATGCAGAAGATACTTTTAAAAACAATTTAGAATTTAAGTTATTTTAAAAAACAAGTGCGTATGCACGTGTGGAAAGGGGAGGAATGAGGAAGGTATCCACATTATGGGAACAGAACCTTATCTGTATTCTCTGGGCTCATTTATTTAAAACTGTGCCTATCCCTAGCTTGAACAAAATTTTGTTTCAAGCACTGTCAGCCGAGATGGTCAGGGCAGTGTGTGTGTGTGTGTGTTACACCCAAGTCTTCAACTGCTGAGACGCAAAGTCTTGTTTCAGTGGGCAGCCTAGGAGGCTGGAGGGCACCCCAAAAAATAGTTTAACGTCTGTGACTTTACTGCTAGGACTGGGGTCCCGTCGCAGAGGGCCGCCAACAGGCTCTCAGACGCCCCGAGTTTATAGGAAGAGCTTATTACACCTCAGATTTTAGCTGCTAGGATACAGAAATCCCTTCGCAGTGGGCAGTCTGGGAAAGACTGAGAGATGCCCCAACGGATCTGTCACCTGGGAGTGACACAATCCAAAACGCCCAAGCTCTTCCTATACCTATCCTTTTGACCGGCTGAAGTTCTTTTGTTTGTGTTCGGTTCGGGTACAGCAGCACGGGTTCAAGTCAGAA